CATGGAACTGGAATTACTGACCAATGTTAGCAACCATGTAGGTGCTGGGAACCAAACTCAGGTCCTCTGTAAAAGCAGCCAGTGCTCTTAACCACTAAACCATCTCTCCAGCTCCACAAAAAAATAATCTTAATGTGCACTTTCGTTCTGAGAGAGAAGTTTGCTGATGTTGCTTAGGCTGGTCTTGAACTCAGGATCTTTCTGCCTTAGCCATCTGAATATTGGGATTTGCAGGTGTATGCCACCATGTCTAGCCATGTGCACAAATTTTTAGTCACTCAGGAATTAGGGGAATGCCATGGTGGGATGCAGAATGTAACAAAAGAAACAATGTGTTACAGAATGTAACACACCATGGGGTGGTGGTAGGTGTGTGTATGTGTAGAGGAATAGGTGCTGACCTAAGTACCTTTAGAAATAAATGGTGTCTATAAAACTAAAGGCATAGGAAAGGGACTTGAGCACTGCACTCTACCTGAACTGATGACCTTTCCCTTCCCATAAGGAAGGGAACATTGTGAACATGAAGGAGTTGCTGGCTGCAGTACACTTCTGACACAGGTTAATGGCACAGTCCTCCTCCCCAAAAGATGGCTTTCACTTTAGACAATGGTCACAAGTTCAGTAACTCTCTACTATCTTTACATCTGTAATTCTGTACATCTAAAAGTGTCCTAAAATATAAACTTATTTTTTTTTAAAGCTTGGTTTTGGAAAATGGTTATAAATGCATAAACTGTGTATATTCTTTCTTAGGCTTCCAAAAAGAAGGTATATATGCTTTATAACCTGCAACCAGATCGATCTGTGACTGGAGGAGCGTGGTACAGTGACCAGGATTTTGAATCTGAATTTGTTGAGGTGCTTAACCAACAGTGTTTCAAATTCTTACAAACCAAGGTGAGAAATACCATCACAAGCCCTTTTTAAAAAGCTACTTTATGAAAAATATTTAACCTTGTATATCATATTTTATAAGGCTAAATATACTGATGTTGGTAATTTTTATTAAAATATGTTCTGCTATGATATGACACAGTGTACATTGCATTGAGAAAGCGCTAATTAGTACTCTTTCTTGAATCTCTTATTTCAATCCTTACAGGCAGAAACAGCCCGAGAAAGTAAACAGAATCCAATGATACAGAGAAACAGTTCCTTTGCTTCATCACATGAAGTGTGGAAATATATCTGTGAACTGGGAATCAGTAAGGTGAGAACTTTTTTACTTTGTCACGTAAGATATATTTGTCAGCATATATATGGCTGTAGCTTACAGTATGTTCTAAATGTATTTGACCCAGTCCCCTTCTCAGGTGCACATTCTACTGAACCTACTTTTTGGAAGTGCTGTCCTAACCTGTGGGCAAAGGCAGTCACTGCCGTCTGACTGGCTGAGCTGTTCTTGAGGTTGGGGCACTTGGTGGCAGAATGCAGTTCACCACCAGAGTCAAAGCTACTCTAAGGACTTCTCCGCTGTCTCTGGGACAGTGGGACATGTCACAGCCTGAGTCATTTATTGACATTTTCTTATGTAATGAGGTGTAAGTGCTATTATTACTTCTCCTCTGAAACCTTTACATAAAGACATTGATGCTTTTCATGGTCAGAAAGAAGCTAAGGTAGCATTTGGACATGCCATTTTCATTTCTTGGGCCCCAGATCTCTCACTTATAAAGTCCTAGGAACTAGAATTACTGAAGTAGCTGTGTGCTCAGACATTTTAAGACTCTCTGTTAAATTCATGGGGAGGGGGATTTCTTCTATGTAGGTTTTTATTTTTAGGTTTGGAGTTGGTTCTATTGTTTTTGTGGTCCTAGGGATTGAATCTAGGGTTCATGCTGATAATGCTCTACCACTGATCTGTGTTCCTAGCCCTTTTTGTCATTTTGTTGTGTTGTACCTTTCCCCCATTACCCCATCAAATTCTCACCAAAGAAATGTTAGTTTGTAAGACTTCTACGGGACTAGAGAGATGGTTCAGTGACTAAGAGCACTTACTGCTCTTAGAGAAGACCCCATTTTTTTTGCCAGCACTGACAAGGTGGCTAACACCCATCTTCAATTCCAGTTCCAGGGGGTCCAATGTCCTTTTCTGACCTTGGTACGTACCAGGCATACAGGAGGCACACTTATATACATGTAGGCAAAACACTCATACACATAAAATAAAAACAAAGGGTGTGGTGGAGACTGGGTGTGATGGCACACACCTTTAATCCCAGCACTGGGGAGGCAGAAGCAGGCAGATGTGTGAGTTCCAGGCCAGCCTGGTCTACATAGTAAGTTTCAAGCCCCCAGGGATAGTGAGATCAAAAAATCAAAACAGAAACAAAACAAAGACTTCTAGTTTTTTCTTAGAATGCTGATAACCATTAGGAAATGTCAGAATCATCACATTAGGCTTCTGTCCTTCCCTAGCATTTCAGTGGTGTGCACATCCTTTTTGCCTTCCATTGCTTTTCTCCAGCATGTAGCTTCTCCCTTCACTGAGCAGTTGGTACTCTGCTGTTTTGTAATACCCTGTCAAAAGATGCTTCCTGTCCTATATACCTACTTATAATGTGCCCTTTTTTAGGTAGAGTTGTCCATGGAGGACATTGAAACCATCTTGAATACACTTATTTATGATGGGAAAGTGGAGATGACTATCATTGCTGCAAAGGAAGGCACAGTTGGCAGTGTGGATGGACACATGAGACTGTACAGGGCAGTCAGCCCAATCCTCCCACCTACAGGCCTGGTCCGAGCACCTTGTGGACTCTGCCCGGTGAGTGAGAGCTGCTGTACTTTCACCCTTTTACCAGCACCATGTGCAAATGTCATATGGAGAAACAGCACACACACCTGTAGGGTTCACAAGTAGCTGTTCAAGCCTCCATGAAGGTGATGAACAGGGCTTTAATGGACAGGTCTTACATTCATTCTTGGGACTGTTGTTAGTCCTGAAATGCATAATTTTTGGTGAAGAATAGTCAGTTTACCTGTGTAGGGAGGAAATGAGATTTGTTGAGAAGCTACCATGAGCTGGTCATTCTTAGTGATTTTCCTTTGTGATCTCTTATGTCCTTGAAGCTAGTAGTGTTATTTTCCCTAAAGAATGAGGGAACTTGGGGCTGGGGGTGTAATTCAGTGGCACAGCACATACTTAGTAGACACGGGACCTCCCACCACCCCCAGATTTGATTCCCCAGTACTCCCCCAAGAAGGAGGAGGAAATGTAGACTTGGGGAGAACATATAGCTTAGAATTAAATAACAGGATTCAAACTGAGAGATGATGTTTTTTTTT